CCTGGTCACAGCCAAGGGGAGAGAGTTGTGCATCAAATAAGTGAGGGGAAAGCAGAGCATCCCTGTTCTTTTCTCCTTCTACATTATGCATCGCTTGTCCATGCCTCACCTGGATTAATTCAACGAACTCTCTTAAAACTTTAAAAATATATATAATCATAATGTAACCAAAGGTTCAACTTTTGAAGTGTCACAAAATAATACAATTTTTCATGAACCCCTTACATAAATGATGTGTCTTTAACCAAACTAAAAAACTGAACATAGTCAAGTAATTGCAAAGTTGGCTCGGAACCTTACAAAAAAAGTGTTATTAGTGAAAAGAATATAATACTAACCAAGTGAAGAATTTTGCAACGGTGCCATGCGTATGGAAAGTGGGCAGTTGTGGCATCCATTCCTCACAGATACGTGGGTATTAATGCAGATTGCAAAGGGAAAGGCAATTACACGAAAATACAGAAAGAAGTTTCTTTTGCAAGTGAATGAAATGCTACGTGAAATCCGCATTATATATAGAGGTAATCGATTACATTTTCTTCAAGTTTTCTTTCTTTGGAGGAACGGTCGCATGGAATAATATTTCTAGACAGTATACACGGCAGGAGTTTTCAAAGCACGAGTTGAACTCCAATCTCCCTTGAGTTTGATGCATTTTCTTCTTCTTTTCACCTTCTTTCAAGTTTAAACCATAAAAAGACAAAAACATTATATGAACATAGACTTTAGACCGAGAATTCTAACGTGCATGTTGCATGCAGTCTCGAGTCATAACATCATTAATTTAATAAAAAAAATATTATATAGTTTAGATTGCTGTGTAATATTTATTATTAGATAAAATCATTTATTATTAACTGTTATTTCTTATTCAATGACTTATATTTTATAATTGGTAAATAATTTATATACATTTGGTTCAACACATTTTTTATTCAATCATTAAAAATATAATATATATACACAACCAATTCAATCAGTTTTTGCATCCTATGTGCATAATTATATTTTTAAACATATTTGTCTTTAATTTTAAATTAAGAAATAACGATTTTTTAATAAATATATTGAATTAGAGTATGTATCAATTACTGTCTTTTATAATTTAATACAATTTAAATTTCAATTATTATTAATATAATTTTACTTGCTCTTAATATCAATTTTTATTTATTTTGAGGTTAATCTTTTTATAGTAATGTAAAGAGCCAGGCTACGTTAGCCTGACGTGTTTTAGAAAAATAAATTTATTCTGACGTTGCTTTCAGTGCTCAAGAAAAACGATGCAACCGTTGCGTTGATTTAATTTATTACATTATAAAATCAGACAACCGCAAAAGCAACTAAAGAATCGGGTTGGAAAAGTGTGATTCACAAATCGCAAAGCAACTAAAGAATTGGGTTGGAAAAGTGTGATTCACAATCGCAAGAGCAAGGAAGGATCGGAGAAGGCAAAATTTGTTGGAAAAGGTCTTCCATGAATTGAATAGGGCAGAGCTTTCTGTTTTAGGTAATAAAATTTAAATAGCATAAAGGCTGACGGATGACCAGTATAAGGCGTGTCTACAGGTTTAATTTTGCTTGCGAGTTGTACCCAAAAATAAATAAATAAAGGTAAAAGTGGAGTATGAGGTCCCAAATTTATATAAAATTCGTAGTTAAGGTCTTAAACTTTTATTGCACTCAATTAAAGTCTTAAACTCTTCCCGATTCTCAAATAATGGATGGAAAGTGGAAACCATTTGTACCATTAAATTGTTTTATTAACGCCATTAGTTTAACTTATTAAATATCTAAAATAGTCCTTAAATTTTACTTCAATTTAGTTTTTAACTTTTAGTAGTCATAAAACAGTTTTTAAACTTAATTTCTCAATTGATGTGGCAATTGGAGTGGGACTCACAACTTAACTAAATTTTAATTTTTAACTTTATGTGAAATGTAGGTGGGGCCTACATGACAAATTATGATAAATTCTAATTGTTGAAAATCAAATGACAATTGAAGGGTAAATTAATAATAACATGTTTTCTT